CTTTTCCTTTGTTTAAGGGTATTTGGGCAGTTTATTCTCTGTTATATTCTCAAGTAAACAATACATACAAGTACAGTACAGTATTTTCTGAGGAAAAACGCATACTTATCCTTTTTTAACCCCATTCCCGATAACCCGGCATTTTCACAAACTCGGCCACCCTTCGGTCCACATTAGGCCGAGTTTTCGAGGTTCTACTGTAGTAATACATTTAACATTTGCTGATATTTTACATTTAAATAAAAAATAAAAAATAAATAAAATGTCAGAACTGAAGATCATAAATTGAATATTTATAACACGTTGAATTATTACAGCTAAATAAATTTAATATAGCATAAATGAACTTATTATAGTAATATTATTGCATGAATAAGCTAAAGTCAAATTCTATCACGAAAATAAAAAGTTCATCATGGATAGGATAAGAAAAGTAATCGCAAAACTTTGTCAAAGTTAATATTGTTTGAGAATCAATAAAAAACTTCGATTCACGAACAATACCAATTTTGACAGTAATGTCAAAAAAATCGATAAGCTTATCCAAATGGCTTAATGTTTTTTTATGTTGTGTTTAACGTAAATAGGATGGCGGTGGCAAAGGGTTAAAAGATGATTCTCAAATTCCACAATTCATACTGATTCACTGCATAATTCACCGAGAACATCTCGTTACAAAATATTTAAAATATCCTGATGTTATGAAAACAGTGTTATACATTGTAAATTACATTCGCACCAATGCAAAAAATCATCGACAATTCAAAAATTTCCTTGAAGAATTAAAGAACGAAGAACTTCCAAATGACATTAATTTCTTTTGCATTGTTAGATGGTTATCTAGCTACAACATATTAAATCGATTTGTAGATTTGTTTGATCCGATAACTGCATTTCTAAAAGAAAAGGAAATAACCTATTCAGAATTAGACAATGACGAGTGGTTACAAGACTTAATGTTTTTGACTGATATCATGGAACATTTGCAAACACTGAATTTACAATTGCAGGGGAAAGATAAAATAATATCTGACCTCTCACAGTGTATATTTAGTTTTCAAACTAAATTACAACTTTTTCAAAAGGACATTAAAAATAAAACATTTTGTCATTTTCCTCGAATTAAAAAAATTTGTTCCAATATTAAACAAGAAAAACTCAACAAGTATATAAAAAAGCTAGAAGGAATATTGACGGAATTCCAAAATAGATTTCAAGACTTGAAATATTTTAAATCGTCTCTTGATTTTTTTCTGAATCCATTTGAAATTAACATAATTCAAGGTGAGTTTTCCATTTCCAATATAATTATGACCCAAAAAGCATCTGGAGAATTAGAATTAACAGAGATGCAAGAAGATCAAGCTCTACAATTAAAATATAAGTCGACGTCGATTACTGAATTTTGGAAATTTGTACCAGAATCGAAGTATCCTGAATTAAAAAAGGCTGCTTTTCAAATTATTTCAATATTCAGAACAACATACGTATGTGAATCATTTTATTCCACTTTAAAATTCGTGAAATCCAAACACCGATCAGTATTAACTAACCAGTATCTGAAAGAATTACTGAGAAGTGCTGTCACCAATTATTCACCAATTTTTAAAGAATTATCAAAAGAAGTAGAATAAATGTGTTTAATTTTTAATATTTAAATTCAATACACATATTTTGTACTTTTATTTATATGTTTTCAATAAATATAATTTCTGTAAAAAAAATTTTTTAATACCATTTTTGCATACCTTTTTAATATGTATTTAATTGCGACTCGCGAAAAATTTCAACTTTTGAAAAATGGCTTGGACTATCAAGAAGCTTGGCCACCCTGGATCTAGAGAAATGTTATAGACTTGGTCACCATACACAGAATAAAAATAGTGATTTTTTTTGTTTCCTCCTGGAGTATAAAGATAATTGGGAAGTAAAGTGTGTGACTCTCAAACTTAAAAGGTACTGGTATTTTTATTATTTGATCAAATAATTTTAAGATAACCATATAAATTAGAGATTGGTATAATTATCTAACACTTTTTATTTAAATTGGTATTACAAGAAGCTATTATATTATGCCTAACTTTTCATTAAAATGATTTAAGAAAGTTTAATGTGTTTTTAATATTTAAAAAACAATTATTTAGAATTTGCTAAATGTCTGTTTTGAAAAATAAACATTTTTATAATAATATTCCATCTANCCATTTCCAATATAATTATGACCCAAAAAGCATCTGGAGAATTAGAATTAACAGAGATGCAAGAAGATCAAGCTCTACAATTAAAATATAAGTCGACGTCGATTACTGAATTTTGGAAATTTGTACCAGAATCGAAGTATCCTGAATTAAAAAAGGCTGCTTTTCAAATTATTTCAATATTCAGAACAACATACGTATGTGAATCATTTTATTCCACTTTAAAATTCGTGAAATCCAAACACCGATCAGTATTAACTAACCAGTATCTGAAAGAATTACTGAGAAGTGCTGTCACCAATTATTCACCAATTTTTAAAGAATTATCAAAAGAAGTAGAATAAATGTGTTTAATTTTTAATATTTAAATTCAATACACATATTTTGTACTTTTATTTATATGTTTTCAATAAATATAATTTCTGTAAAAAAAATTTTTTAATACCATTTTTGCATACCTTTTTAATATGTATTTAATTGCGACTCGCGAAAAATTTCAACTTTTGAAAAATGGCTTGGACTATCAAGAAGCTTGGCCACCCTGGATCTAGAGAAATGTTATAGACTTGGTCACCATACACAGAATAAAAATAGTGATTTTTTTTGTTTCCTCCTGGAGTATAAAGATAATTGGGAAGTAAAGTGTGTGACTCTCAAACTTAAAAGGTACTGGTATTTTTATTATTTGATCAAATAATTTTAAGATAACCATATAAATTAGAGATTGGTATAATTATCTAACACTTTTTATTTAAATTGGTATTACAAGAAGCTATTATATTATGCCTAACTTTTCATTAAAATGATTTAAGAAAGTTTAATGTGTTTTTAATATTTAAAAAACAATTATTTAGAATTTGCTAAATGTCTGTTTTGAAAAATAAACATTTTTATAATAATATTCCATTTAACAGTTATCTTTGTTAATTTATTTTCAGTAAATTTACTATAAGAAGAAAAATAAATAAATAACTAAATAAAAATTAATAATACATAATACAAAAAAGAATAGTGTATTCTTATTAATTTGCATTTAATATTGATATATAAATATATTTTTAAAATAAAAGTTTGTTTGTTTGTTTCATTAAAAAAGTAAATTATCAAAATAAGTATCCCAAACTTACCATTTTTGCTAGAGAATCAAATATATTGGTAAATAAAATCATAGTTAAACGTTTTTCTTCTTCTGAAGCTGAACCATAAATTCCCTGACCACCTACAGCTCCATAATACTTTGCACATCGTTCAAAATGTAAAGTTAACAACTGTAAAAAAAAAAATTTATAACTAATTATAAAATAGTTTAAAAAATGATAGAAATTATTATAAATATTACATATTATAATTCAAAAATAGAAGTAATCTATTTAAAATTTTTTAGTTTTATAACTTTAAAAAAAGGAAACTGCATTGATAGAATCTATAAATCATCATTTAATTTCTTTAATCATTTTTAGAATTTCAAATATTTATTTTATAAAAACTTATATAAATTATATATAAATTTCTGACAATAGATTTTGGAGTCTGATAAATTCAATATTTAAATGAATAAAACTGAAATGAGATTATTATTTATCTAACAACTGTTCTTCATTTAAATTTAATTATAATATTTCTCAACTTAATAATTAAAAATACAGCATTTTATAACTATGTAACAATAAAAAGTACTTTACTACAAGCCATGCCCCATAATTAAGGTACTATTTTTATAACAATTTAGTAACAAATTATGAATGTAAGCTATCAAGATGTTTTTTATGAGGTCAAAAAGGTAAAAATATAAGGATGTTAAGTGCAGACTATGTGCAGGATGGTCCATTACTTTCCATCATTTTTAGCCAGTCTGAAGTCTAATGTACAGTATGAGGAGGTGCTTATCATGCAACAGGCATACCATTGTGATTTAGTACTTTGTGATTTTAATGTTTTTGGACCTCTTAAGAAACATCTTGATGGCTTATACTTCTCATTTAAAATATTAAGCACAACTATAGAGAGGCATAAAATATCACACTGGGCCACACTTTCTTTTATGGACAAACCTGTACAAAAATTATAGCCATTTAATATAATTTTGTCTTTATTGTTGAAACACATCTTTTCTTGGTTTTTACACAACTTGTGAAATTGCAATATGTGGCCTAAATGATTTTTTCTGATCATGTTATGCCATCTTTTATGCTCATATTCTAAATTCAACAGAACTTCTACTGCATAAATTCCAGGCTGAATAAATGGACTAATACAAATCTAAGAAAAATAGAATAATCACTAAAATAATGCACTTTTACTGTTTTTTTTTTTTCACTAACAGAAAATAAAAGTTTTTTTTTTCAAATATTTGTTTTTGTGTTTTATATTTTTATGGTATTATATGTATTCACATTCATTATGCAAGAAAAACATTAGAAAAAATAAACTTTGCATATTCCTCATATTTTATAGAAGAAAAAATTAATTTCTATTAGCATTCTATCAAAAAAAATTTACTGGGCCAAATGCAATTTCCATTCCCAAAGGCCATGCATGCTCTAACTATTCCATTATACTGATATGGCTAACCTGTTGCTTTGAAATAACACAGCACAGATTTTAATGTATAGGTTGTATAGCATGTGTTGCAGAAATGCAACACATGCTACACAGCCTGGGTTAATTGCCAGGTGTGTTGCATAGTTGCAACACATGGCACTTAATGTGTTAAAGATGCAATCATGGACTTTTTCAAATCATTAAGTGGAAAACTTTTTCAGAAAGGAATTTTTGCCCCTGTCCATTGATAGGGAAAATGTTTAAAAAAGAATGGCAACTACATAGAAAAACAGCTTAGACTGTGTAGTTTCAAATAACAAATTTAATTTTTTAATGTAATTTGTTATTAAAGATTGTACCTTACTTTTAAAACATAGCTTGTAGAACTTCCATACAAACTTACAACCTGAGAACTCCCAGGTCGCAAGTCTGAAAAAAAAAATTGAGTAAAAATTTAGCTTCTAAAAAAATAGCCTATTTTATTTGCACTTCTGAAATTAACATATTTTAAAATACATTCTATGTAGATGAAAACAAACTGTTCATTAAAAATAATGAAAATTAATGAAATAATTTTTGATCAAGTAGCTAAAAGCTCTTAATGTTTATATTACACAAAATTGCTTAAATTATTTTTCAATATTTTTCTTACCCTTAATGCAACAGTTGTATATTCTGTAATCACGGATACATCAACAGTCAATTTTCTTAATAACTTTAATAGCATACTGGGTTGCATTTCCCTAAAGAAATTTAAATAAAAATTAAAATTTTTAAATTTAACATATAGTAAAATAGAGTAAAAAGTTAATTAAATAAAAAATTATTTATTTAAAATTCTTTTCTTTTAATGAGTAAAAAATAATTAAATACATACCGAGTTAAGCTTACTAAGAAATCTGAAACACTTTCTCTTTGGCCTTTAGTCAAAATTTTTACTTTAGATAAACGATAAATTGTATGGAGTGTGGCATCTAATATATTTGCATAATTATCAGCATTTGCAAAATAGTTGCAATATTGAATTAATGTTGGTAAGATAGAATTTCCAATGTATCGATTGAGAGCTAATGCCATTTCACTTTCTGATCCATCATTCTAAACAAAATTTTAAATTCAATAACATATATTATTACAACATAATATACACATATATATTTAATATACATATTATACTACTGTGTTATATGCATGTTATGTATACAGTATGATCATGATTTATACAGAAATTACATTCTCAAAGCACATACATAAAGATCAATTACAACCAAAAAACAAAAGTCCTGAAAATTTGATTAAATTTATAAAATTATGTTATAGCAATTTTATATTTTATGTAGAAAATAATCATTGTGTGTTTTAACTTGCATTAGCAGAAGTATTTTGCATATTGGACTTGTTAGAATTAAAATTCATTTAAATACAGCTATCGCTCCCATTTGTAAACTAATTGGAAAAGATGTGAGAGAGTTAATTATTAAAAAACAAGGTGTTGCAAATTCAGAAATAAACTAGCTAATTGAATGCCACAAATCTACTGTGGGTAGAATGCTTAAAAAATACACAGAAAATGGAAAAACAGATGTGCAACCAAGATGAAGAAGGCCATGTTATACTAGAAAGACAGAAGATAAAGTTCTCAGAAGTCTTATAACAATTTCTAGGAAAAAATTCTGCTAAAATGTTAACTAACAAATGGAGTGAAATAACTAAAAAAAATTATTTTTTTAAAAAACAACAAAAATGGATTTAAGCAAAGAAAAAAATGATGTCACTGCTTCAAGTTCAATGAAACAAAAGAGAATTAAATGGTGTAGAAAATATAAAGATTGGAACATTAATAAATGAAAAAGTATTATTTAGTGACAAATCAAGATTTTTGTGTACTTAAGAATGGAAGCACAAAGGTATTACAAAAAATAAAAGTAAGGCATATCATCCTAATTGCATTTCAAACACTCTAAAGTTTGCACCAGGAATTATGGCGTATGAAACTTTAATTGCTTATTGATTTGGAAGCTTACACATTCTGAAGCAAAACATTGACTTATCACTTTACATTAAAATAGTAGATAAAAATTTTCTATCAACAGCTAAATATCACTTTTCTGATAACATTTATCAACAGGATGGTGCCCCTGCCCATAGAGCAAAGAAAACAAAATCATATTTTCAAAACATGCAAATAGAGGTATTAGACTGGCCTGGAAATTCACTAGACCTTAATCCCATAGAAAAATATATGCTAAAGAGAAGATACAACTGAAACAAAAACATATTTTAAGTTTGAAAAATTTAGATGAAAACATAAATCTAGTATGGAAATAAATTATTGTCAAAGAATGTGAGAAGTTAATTTATTCCATGCCACAAAAAATTAAAGAAGTTTTAAAGGCTAAAGGTGGAGCCATACAATACTAAAATCAAACTTGCAGGACTTTTGTCTGAGTTTTTCTTATTTTTGTGCATGATATGTTTTTTACTTTGTTGTATTGCATTGTAAAAATAAATAATTTCAAAATAAAATTTGTGGTCTTTTAAAAGAGAAGAAATGTCTCTTCTGATTTTATTAATAATTGTAATGTAAATTTGATTAGTTTTTTTTTTTGTATGGCAACAAAGTTACCAAGACTAAAAAAAAATTGCTTGTTGCAGGACTTTTGTCCCTTGGTTGTATGTAAAAAAAACTTAAAAGAATAAATTCTGCAAACATATAGTCACTAGCCTAAGCAATTTTTCAGCTTAATTCATGCAGATAAATTTAAAATATTTTAAAAAATAATTAATATAAAAAAATTTGGGACAAAAATTTGCATATATTGTATGAAAGAAATTGCTTTCTTAGAAAAATTTAACTAAACTCCACTGTATAGATAACTTTCATTAACTATGTAACATTTTGGATTTGTACTTTGGATTATTTTATTTTGAAAAGAAAACAATTTACAAAGATAATTTTAAAATAAAACAAGAATCTGACTAGTTTTCTTGTTTGTTGTTAATTACATAAAACATTAATATTTTTACAAATTATTAAAACAATACTAATAATGGTTCAGCAATATTATCTCAAATATAAAATTACCCTTTCCAACATAGTAGCAGCTCTGAGATCAAGTAAGAATCCATCTTCTAATAATCTAAAAAATGATTCTTGAGTTGGCAATCCATAAACTCTCTCCAAAAATAATACCACTGATTGCTTATGATTTGGTTGTAAACCAATTGGCATGTCACTTCTATGTTCTAAATTAAAAGTGTTTAAGATTATCAATAAAAATAATGAAAATATTAACTAAGATTTTACATTTACTATTTTAAGAAGGGAATAAAGAAAAAAATAAGTTTTTTAAAGTAAAAACAGTTAACAGATGAAAGTAACAACAGTTAAAAGATTTAAAATAAAAACAGTTAATAAATGAAAGTTTAGGATTCATAATGAACATATTCAGATTTCATATACAGATCTAAAACTTACTTTTACATAATAGATTATTAAAATTATCTTAACTAATTCCTGTAATAAACATCCTTGCACATTCTAAAAAATTGGATTGCATTGTTATATCTTTAAAAAATTTTCTTAATTTAATCTCTAGTTTTTATGTCTAATTTTTTTCTTATAGTTAAAATAATAAATTAATAAGGTAAAATAGATCTTATTAATTACCTATTTTTAGGTAATACAGTAATACCCTGAACTTACATGATAGGAGGGACCAAGCAATAACCGCATAAGTCTAATTTGCATAAGTTGGGGTATAATTTCGCATATAAATACATACAAATTATTTTTAATTGGGGCCAGAGACTAAGAAAAACAATAATATAAAAAAAAATGTTTAATAAAATCTTAAATAATACATATGTATAACAAATTATATTATTAAAATCGTAAACCGAAGTTATTTTGATGTAGAAGGCTTTATAAAATCTAACAAATTAGTCTGACAGCTGAAAATTTTTTTCTCCTGCAAATTTCCTCATAGCATGCTAATAATTTTTTATTTCTCGTTTTGTAGAAGAAATGCACTCTTCGTTGGAGTCTATATTTTCTAAAATTTGTAACCCCCTTTTCAATTGAACTGAGTCCTTCTGTCAAGTTTCCAACCATCATTTGATCTTCTGATTGAACTGGGTCTAAAAAATCAAGTTCTTCAATGTCTTGATCTTGCTAATGCATTTCTATGAGCTCAATTGTCAGCTCCTGATTGTGGAAATCCAGCACTTCTTGAACGTCATCACTATCCATTTCTAAATTTATTTGCCTGGCAAGATTGACAACTTCTTCAATCACAATACCAATTTCATCAGGCTCTGGCACTGATTCTGCCTTAGTTTGTGGTGAAAGAAAGGACATAGTTTTTCCAGACCATTTAAAGTTTTTCGTGAAACTTCATTCCAAGATTGTCCAATGATTGTCATTGCATCTAAAACATTGAATTGTTTCCAAAAGTCTTTAACAGAGAGCTTGTTGTTTTGTCTCATAGCTTCATGCAGATGTGCAAACGATCATCTCGTGTAATGTTTGAATGTTTGAAGATTTGAATGTTTTGATGACTCTCTGATCCATCGGTTGAAACAAGCTGGTTGTATTTGGTGGCAAAAATACAACTTTCACATGTGGGTCAAAATTAGTTACATGATGTTTATAAATGATGCTTGAATTTAAAGATTGAGCATTTTTCACAGCTTCAAGAATTTTTTGTTTACCTTTTATAAGTGTTCTGGCAGTCAATTCTGGTAGATCAAACTTCTTTGCCAATTCACAAATTTTCACTTTTGTATCAAAATCTTTAATAATGTTAACTTTACATTCCAAAGATAAAGTTCTTATTTTCTTGTTCGATGCAGAAGAATAAGTTATACTTCATTTGGATGACATAGTAGAGGCTCTCAAGTCTCCGTAGATATACGTAGATAAATAAATAACACAAAATAAAGTGTAGCTATGCGTTAATTCCGTGTGACATGACCGAACATGTAAGCTGAACAATAGTGTGGGGGGAGTGAGTAATCAAGAGTTGCGTGGTGCACAAACAAAAAACGAATCAATGAGATTTGCAAATTGCGTAACTCAAGGTTTGCATAAGTCAAGGTATTACTGAACTTAATTTTACTTTATACTTTTCCTATCCAATTTATTTGTTGTTTTTATTTTCCTTATGTTTAAATATGTTTTTTGTATTTTGTTTAACATATTTAATTAGTAATTATAATATAACTTTAATTATTATTACATAGGGTAACATGGATCACCTGTACATTCATTTTAGAATAAAGAGAGCGCGTTTCATATAAAATCCTAAAAATTTTGACACTAGCAAATGGTAGAATTTTCAATTTCCAGTATTGGCTGGTAATGGGCTATCCATTACCCGCCAGTACCAGTCTAAAAGTGAAATTTTTTTAAATAGAACATGATATTTTTTAAATTTAGATTTGGATTGAACTTAAAAAAAATAAGAATTTAATCTCAAACATAAAATGATCTTGAGAGTGTGATGTATGAAGAAAAATGATACTGTGAAAATAAGAAAATATCTTAAGTTACAAAGTATTTTTATTAATCTACCATCAATATAGGACAAATATAATAAAAATTTTGGCACAATAATCATATGTAATTGATGCTAAACTAACAAAAATTGTTAATATTGCTATATAGTATTTTTGTTCACGTAAACTCTCTGAAATAATCTATTTGGTACTGATTTTAACTGTTGTTCAATCAAAATATTCAATTGAGCATTGTTCATCATCAAAGTGCTTGAAAAAGAACTTTGTAGTATATTGCTAAATTAGTAGTATACATATGATAGTGTAATGTTTCCCAACTGGTGCGATTGTTGAGATGGTCAAGGGGTTGAGACAACCATGTGTGAGCACAAAATACACACTGAGACAAGCTTACCATTTACATTTTCCCATTTAATAAAATATAAAAAGTTTTCTTACAAAAGTTGGATATTGTTGTCTTTACAATTTTTCTTTGAAAAGTCTATTTAAGCAAAGGAGTCCAGGAAAAGGTCCAAATGTAGCTATGAATGTATTTGCTTGGTCCCTCAATGATTGTTTTCCAAAGGATTGATGCCCTGGAGCACATTGGTAAGTTTGGATCTGAGCAGGTAGGTACTTGAGGTCGTCTGCCATGTTCTGCCACAGTTGGACGCTAGATTGCTTAACTCATGGAACTTGGATGTTGCTAAATGATAAGAGCATATCCTGGTGGATCATGGATTAGTAAGCAAAAGGACAGATCTTGAAGAAAGAACAAATCCTAGACGATCAGCTCTCTAAGAAAAAAGGATCACAAATATTAGAGCAAAGAACGTCTGTCCTTGAAACATGACTTTTTAAAAGGCTTTTCTCCTTTATTCCATGTTCTAATTGATCTTCCCTCATTTCCTGTGGCAACTCAAAACCTTTCAGGGTGCAGGAGAGGTCGTTATCAACACTTAACCCAACCCCAATCAGCTAAAATTTCTTCAAACTTAAATTATTCCTTGTAATTCTAGCATTTTATTTTCCTTTTTGACAAAAATAGCTTTTATTGTTTTTGCAGGACTTTAAGTCTCACTTCAGGTTTTAATTTCAAAAAGTGAGAGTCTAATTGTCCCATCAGATATTTGTCATAATTAACATAAAATTTCAATTTCCATCCAGGACCTCACAATAATGTCTAGGATAAATGTATTAAATTTGTAACTTTTTAACACATTTATTCTAGTGTTTATCCCATTTTCAAAGGAAAAATGGATGTCTTTCCTTTGAAAAGACAACCAGGGGCAAATCTTGATAGTTTCTGGGATATAGTGGAATCCAGAATCTATCACTGCAATGAAAACTATGCACCCCTTTTTGTTATCCTTTTGGTATACTTCTCCATATATCAGATATATCAGTTACAGTATGTAATTTTATCTTTCCCTTTCTGGTAATAAAATCATAAGATACTTAATATTCGCATTTTATATTTGTATAATGTTCATTGTTCTTACATGTTCCATCAGAATTATTTTGTCATAAAACCATATCAAACTCATAAGTTACTTACAGAATGTTTAGTAGTTTTCTTTGTTTTTACCTAACTATAAATTTTTCTTAAAAAAAATCAAACTTTATTGCAGATCTAAGCTGATATTGCAGCACAAGTATTATCCACCTTTACAAGTTAATTGGTACATAGAAGTACTAATTTTTTATATAAATAAATACATAATACATAATTATGTTCCTGCATATGAGATTTCAGTTAGGAAAATGTTAAAAAACAACAATAAAAATATTTGGCAACAAAATTTTTATAAATATTACATTTATATTTATTTATCATTAGTTTCCTTCTTTTCAAAGAAAAAATAAACAAAATTACTTCTTTAAATACATTTTTGTCTAAATGCTTGCTCTTTTCCATAGCCCAACTAGATGAAGCAGTCTTTGTTGAGAAAATTCTCATGATTGCAATTTTTACTTTCTTTTAAATATAATTCTTTATTATTCAAAATAGTACAAACAGTAGAAGAACTTAGAGAATATTTAATGCCAAGATCTTTAACGATGCTCCCAGCTTCATAACTGCTTATAATTTCATACTTGTTTTCTAAAATTATTGATTTACATTGTTTTTTAGTTATTCATATCAGTAATGGTATCATCTCTTCTTTTGGACATGTTGAAAGAATATCTGAAATACTTGAAAGTAGAAAAATAATTTTAAAAAACTTACACATGCTAGACTTTATATTTATACATCAAGTAGAGTACTGAAAGTACAAAAATAAAAACGAACTTATACACAGGATACAAATGAACAACAATACAGTATCTGCTCTTAACAATGACTCATTAAGAAAATGGTTATTCATTAACTCATGCCTATGGCAATGTTTCATTAATACCATCTCCCTAATGCAGTAATATGTCGAATTATAAAACTAGGAACTCATAAACTCATAAAGCAGGAACTACCTGTAATCCTCAATTGTTTTGAATAATAATCTATTCAATAAAGACATTTCTTTATTAACATTCCTCATAATCAATTTCAGTCTCAAAAGTGCCTCCATTTGTAATACAAATTCAAACTATCTAAAATTTCTGACAACAAACTGCTACCTCACTAATCTAACAATAGGTTTTCAACAAATTTAATATCAAAAAACAACTAGAAATTAAAGGATTAAATCTTTATTTTAATAAAATATAAATGTAAAATATAAATTTTTTGCATTATAAAGATGCATGTTATGTTTATAAATAATTTGACTTAAGATGTTCGTCAAAAATATGACAGTATCTGTCATATTTTTTTGTAATTTAAATGAACTATATTTTCAATTAAATGCTTAATTCAGTAAACTATATTTGTGTGTAACTTAATGCATAAAAAAATCTCACTTATTTTAAAATAAATATAAAAATAATTTAAATTAATCAATACTTAATGCATATTTTTAAATTGTATTAATTTTAACTTTTTATTTAATATTTACCTTCTTGTCCAATGGCTGGCATTTGAATATTAAAACGTAAACTAAGTACACCTTGTAAATCTTCTACAGGAACAAGAGATCTTAATATAGCTCTTGCTCTAATACAATCATTTTTCCCCTGAGCAATAGTTGCTGCTTCTGGAGCACATCGACCCAATAAATCAACTAAAGCACAGTAAAAATTTAAAATTGCAGCTCCAATGTCTATGTAATCTTCATCCTCTTCTGCAGATGTATCTCCAATACTTTCTTTTTCTGCTTGAATTCTTTCAGACATTTTAATAGCTTCTTTTATAGCTGCAAATAAGCCTGGACCTTCACCTCTCAATGCTGGACCAAGACATTCTGGTCTTCTGATTAATAAGCGAATTACAAGATTGGCATTTTCCTCTACACTTTCTCCTGGAATTTTAAGTAAAGATATACAAATTATATGTGTGTAGATAAAAAATTTATAAAACAAAAAATTTCTTACCATTAACCCAAACACAAAATTTTAAGAAATCTAAGTAACGTTCTCCTTCTACAGGATCCCATCCAACATCTGGATACCCTTTATCGATTAATTCTTGATTAGACTGTAAACCACATCGAGATAAATATATTGCAATTTTTTCTAAATAGTGTTCTCTTAATGCAAGAGCCAATTCACTATTTTCCATCAATGATGAATATGCAACATCTAATGGTGTTGAACCACGAAGAGATGGCCGGGCTAAAATATATAGATAAGTTAAATATAAAAAATTTTTATGAAAAAATTATTCTATTAAAGAAAATTGCATATATATTTTTTATTTGTTAGAAAACACTGCATAAAGTTGCTAATATTAATGCATACATTGTAATATTTTTTCTATATATTTATCAAAAATTCTTACTTTAAAATTGTCACAAATGTTTTCCCATCACACATAAAAAACAGGCAGCACTAAGAATTGATTAATCAGCAGAAAATTTTTGAACTGGTGATGAAGCATATAATGATCAAAGTAAGCAGGGGACAAAATATACATACATAGGCATTTGCCCCTCCCTAAGATCAAGTAATACAAATTCCCAAAATTATAGTTGTAAAAATGATTGAGATATGTAACCTTAAACCCTCAACCATGGAATCATGTCTTAAAATTTCTTGTCTGTCTTAAAACACCCCAAAAATTAAATAATTAAATAAAAATTATTGATGTAATTATTTGTCTCCAAGCTTGCTCCTCTCCTAGAAAATTTCCTGCAAACACCCATGTAAACATGCAGTATACAGGGTTTATGTAATAAAAAAATAATAAATGTTGCAAATATATTGATTACTTTCATATTCATCTTTGATTTGTAAAAAAAAAAATTTTGAACACTGAGAATATTCTTTAGTCAAATTTAAATACATTTCAATACTCACAATACTTGTTTTATATTAATTTAAATTTAAATGAATATCGAAAGTACTTGTGAAATTTAATAGTGACATAACACTTGTAAAAAAAGGTTTTTCGTGGATTGTTATTAAACTCTAAATAAATTACATTCAAATTTCTAAATTAAAGATTATTTTTTATTCTTATTATTTTTAAAAAAGATGCTAACATTTTGTATTAAATAAATTATTTTCACTATATAATTATAACCTAAGTTTATTATAATTTGAAAAATAAGATAACTACAAGATTAGTTTTTTTATTAATGTTGTATTTAATGTAAGTAGCATCTGTAATGTTCACAATTACTTAATTTCAATCATGTCCCAGACCAGGAAAGTAAATTTATGCAGAGTGTCCAAAGTGACATGTTAAAAGATATTACAAGCATAGCCTGCCTTATGGCATTTTGCTAATATGACTCTCTTCAATTACATTCATTTTATTATTTTAGGTGCTTGCTTTGCTCTTCAGATAGTTTTTTGACAGCATCACTTTCAGCTTTCTATCAATGTAAACATATTAGATGACTAAAGGAATTAGAACTAGTGGTGGAGCTTAAAGATGTTGCAAAATTACTTGCATCTCATGACCAGTCTCTGACAAATAAACATTTGCTTACAACTGAAAAATAAAGTGGGTTGCTTCTTAAAATAGAGTCTGCTTATGATGAAGGTCCAATTTCCATCAGTAAAACATTAACAAAGAAATTAGAATAATATGTTAGCTTAATAGAAAAGAAATTGGCAGATTGGCATAAATTTTGAAAGAAGTTCTGTAATTAATACAATAGTGTCAAATAAAATCACGTTCTAAAAGAATAAATACTTAGAGGAAAAAGGCTTCAGTCCATGAAGCAAGCATCTTTGCTATCACATTTGAAGAAAATGACAATCACTATTACCACAGCCTATGATTAAACAGCCTTGAGCTAATTAAAAAAAAAAAAAAAAAAACAGTCATCAAGCATCTTTATAGAGCTCTCCTCATTCAAAATGAATAAGATTTGTTGAAGATTCAAATGATGAAGTTCCATTATTGCCTTTAGTCTTTCTACAATAAATATGCAATTTTAAGTTCACATTTGTCAGTCATCACAAGCAAAGGATGAAAATATTTTAAGGTAAACAATACTGCACATACTACAACATATTTTTATTAATTAATTTTACTTTTTTCAGCATTTTTATTGAACTATTGTTATTTTGCACTTAATAACTGCTAGTGTAAACATGTTTTTAGACTTTTATAGTAACTGGCAAGTAGGGAAAAAAATCTTGTTGTTTTAAAATGATTTTCACTTTATGGTGGTGGTATGATTTCACTTTATGGTGTTATTACTAATGTATACCTGTATCTGTATACCTGTATCAGCATACAACATATATGATTTAATTTATTTTTTATTACATAAATTATAATCTACCTTAATTTCATTTTTTTTTATTATATTTTCATTGATATGTTCAATTCATTATATTATCATTTTTTCTCAATCAGCTTTAAATTTATTCTAATTGAAATATATTCAACTTCATTTCTTTAAAAATAGCTGTCTGAAGTCTGAAATTTCAATTTTGCATAAGTTGTTTTACATATAATTATGTTTAATATATGATTTTTGAACTCGAGAAGATTTTCCATCTCTATCTTAAACCTTTTTTATATTAACTTCCTAAAGTTAATTTTACTAATATTACATTTTAATTCCTTTTTCTATGTCTCATTTATGGTGAGTCTGTGAATTTGAAAATATATTTGTACAATACATGTGAACTATTACACATTTTAATTTTATAGACGTGTAATTTTTTACTTCTAAATATGTCTCAGTTGACAATATATATACTTTAATTTAGTACATTATTCTTCCTTAATTTTTCCTTTGTACTGAAACTTGTAAATTTCATATTTAATATTATTCCTTATACAAGTGCATAATAAGAAATAAAATATACTGTAATTTTATGAAAGATAATAATATTGGCTTGTGAATAACCACTTCGTCAGCTCTAGGAACATCTAAGATTTGCTGTGATATGCATTGTATTCCTCATTTCACTTTCTCTGATCAGTAATCAGTTCTAAGTTCTAAATTTGTTTAGATATTCCAAAATATTATCTTTCTATTATTTATTATTTATGAAAAATTATTTTATATATATATCAACTTCTTCAAT